TTACCTCTCTCTGACTGCTTGGCTGGTCAGAAAAAGTCCAAAGTTCTGTTGGGCCCAGTTAGTGTCCCATTGACCTCCAGGAGGTCTCCAGAGATTCATAAAGAAGGTCTGAAGATGGTTTGGTATACTGATTCTTACTAATGCTGCCTCCCCTCTGAGTTTTGCCTCTTCTGTCCTCAGGGGTCTCTGCCAGGCACAAAGATTGGGGTCCTGCTTGTTTTTGGTGGGGTCTTGTTATACAGCGAAGTGACCTGGGCCGGTTCTCACCTCTCACCGTATCAGTACAGGGCTTCTTATTGATCTTGGGGTGGGGTGTGGACCCTGACAGCATCCTCCATGTCTCTCCTAGCAGGAAGAAGATACTCAGGAAGAAGGTACTGAGAAGGAGCCCTCTCCACCTGAGCCAGTGGATGATGGGAAGCGACATGGATTCCTCATCCTGAGCCGTGAAGACTCCACCATGGTGGGTGCTTCTCTGTGACTTGCTTGGCTTGGCTTGGCTTAGATTGGGTTGGGTTGGGTTGGGTTGGGTTAGATTAGATTAGATTGGGTTTGAATGGGTTGGGTTAGATTAGGTTGGGTTGGGTTAGATTAGATTGGGTTTGAATGGGGTGGGTTAGATTAGATTAGGTTAGATTGGATTGGGTTGGGTTAGATTAGATTAGATTAGATTGGGTTTGAATAGGCTGGGTTAGATTAGATTAGATTAGAATGGGTTGAGCTAGATTAGATTAGGTTGGGTTGGGTTAGCTTAGATTAGATTAGATTGGGTTTGAATGGGTTGGGTTAGATTAGGTTGGGTTGGGTTAGATTAGATTAGGTTGGGTTGGGTTGGGTTAGATTAGATTGGGTTGGGTTAGATTAGATTAGATTGGGTTTGAATGGGTTGGATTGGATTAGATTAGGTTAGGTTGGGTTGGGTTGGGTTTGAATGGGTTAGGTCGGAGTGGTTCGGCTTGAGTTGAGTTGTGTTGGTGTGTGTTGGAGTGGCTTGAGTTGAGTTGGGTTGGGTGTCAAGGTTCCGACTGACAAACCCAATGAAGTCAGCATACCTGAGACAATCCAATCTCTAATGCAAAACTTTATTGAGTGCATCATTTCGGGACTGGTGAAAGGAAAACTGGCTCTGATTAATTTGCGCCTGTTTTGCTATATTAAAAGTATAGAAGTCTCCCTCCCCCTATGAGTGCCGGTCCCACTACCCAATTATAACTCAGATAATTATTACGAGGGGATGTCTTTCGTTCTCAGTAGACAAACCTTGAGAGTCCTTGATTCTCACACACTTAGCCTCTTGAGATCAGAAACCGGCATCCCATTCTCCCCTCTCCTCCCCCCAGGTTCGTAGGCAAGTTAAGAAGCAATAATGGCTGAGACAGCATAAGCATTCTTTGAGGCTTGACGTTGGGTTGAGATGGTTTTGGATGGCTTGCCTGGTGGACATGAACTCTCTGAGATGCCATTAGGTTCAGGACTGAGCATGTCCCTGTCTCAAGAGGTCCTTGGCAGTCCAGAGATCCATCTTGGGCAAGCGAGGGATGACTGAAGGATGTCAGCAGAAACAGGACAGAAAACTAGATTGGACAGTCAGCTGTCTGAAATGGTATAGGTTCTCCTGCTTGAGCAGGGGGGTGGACTAGAAGACCTCCAAGGTCCCTCCCAGCTTTCTATTCTATTCTATTCTATTCTATTCTATTCTATTCTATTCTATTCTATTCTATTCTATTCTATTCTATTTTCTATTCTATTCTATTCCATTCCATTCTTATTATAATATTCTTATTATTATTCCATATTCTATTCTATTCTAGTCTAGTCTATTCCATTCCATTCCATTCCTTTCTATTTCTTCATTATTCTATTCTGTTCTGTTCTACTCTACCCTACTCTCTACTCTACTCTACCCTACCCTACCCTACCCTACCCTATCCTATCCTATCCATTTTCTATTCTATTCCATTCCATTCTATGTTCTGTTCTATATTCTGTCCTTTCCTATTTATTCCATTCCACTCCATCTATTCTATTCTATTTCTATTTCTATTCCATTCCATATATCCTGTCCTATCCTATCCTATCCTATCCTATCCTATTCTATTCTATTCTATTCTATTCTATTCTATTCTATTCTATTCTATACTATACTATACTATACTATTCTATTGTACAATCTGTTTATGTATCCTATCTTATCCTATCCTATTCTATTCCTTATTCTATTCTATTCTGTTCTATTCCGTTCCATTCCATTCCATTCTATGTTCTGTTTGTTCTGTTCTGTTCTGTTCTGTTCTATATTCTATTTCCTATTCTATTCCATTCCACTCCATCTGTTCTGCTCTGCTCTGCTCTGCTCTGTTTTGTTCTGTTCTGTTCTGTTCTATTCTTGTTCTATTCTTATTCTATTCTGAGTTGGGAATGCACGAGGTGACTCTTGGCTAGCAATTTGCTTTTGTGGAGAAGCTGTTCCTGCCAGATCAGTAGCCACCTCCCTTCTCAGCAGGGTCAACTGCTACCCCGTCTGGCTCACAGCCAGGAATATCTGCCCTTGGCTATTACGATCTCTCTCTCTCTGTCTCTTCCCTCAGATCTTGCAGACCGGCCAGGAGATCATGGAGCTGGACACCAGCGGCTTTGCCACTCAGGGCCCCACCGTATACTCTGGCAACATCGGCGAGAACCGCTACATCGTCCAGGTGTCCCCTCTGGGTATCCGTCTCCTGGAAGGAGGTGAGTGCAGAAAGGCGACTTGGCTCACCTTCCCGGGTGTCCCGTTTTGGAAGTTCAATCATTCAGCGAGAGAGGAGGAATTCTCTGCGCTCAACCTTACCAACATTAAGATGTCTGGACTTTGTAGGTGTCGCTCATGCTGGCTGGGGAATTCTGGGAGTTGAAGTCCAGGCGTCTTAATGCTGCTAAAGTTGAGAACGTGGTGTAGACAATTTGGATAGCACCACAAAATTGACAGGAGATGGGACGATTCCGAGCTCCTTAGCCGTGTGCCACGTTCCCCTTGGGGCTGAAGCATCACAACCCACAAATTCCTCAACTTGCCCGTGCCTCTCTCCCCAGTGAACCAGCTACACTTCATCCCGGTGGACCTCGGCTCGCCCATTGTGCACTGTGCCGTGGCTGATCCCTACGTGGTGATCATGAGCTCCGAAGGCCAGGTGACCATGTTCGTGCTGAAGAGCGACACCTACGGGGGCCGGACGCACCGCCTGACCTTACAGAAACCGCAGTTACACCATGTGAGTGAGACTTGGATCGCCCCGGGAAGTTGTTCTGTTCAGCCTCGTGCCACAAATTCAGTCATTCCAAAGTTGTTGAAAAGAAGTTGCCAAAGCAGCAGCTTCCGGCCAAGGAATGGATCAGCTTGGACCTGCTGAAGAACATCTGGGCTTTGATGGACCTCTTGAGTCCCTATTGGCTGGCAGAAGCGACGTAAATTGTGTGGCAGCTCAATCCCCTTTGCTTGATTTCAATCAGGACCAGCAAGATGAGGTCCCTGAAAATAGCCATAGCAAACTACTTTATTGTTTTCCACCTAAGTTACAAGAATCTCCCCAGGCTGCTTGCCTTCCCATGGGAATGAGCAGATAAGGCTTCATGGGTGTAGATCACAGGTCGGCAACCCGTGGCTCTGGAGCCACATGTGGCTCTTTGAGCCTTCTCCTGCGGCTCCCAGCCTCCTCCGCCATTTCCAGAGAGAGAGCGAGACAGAGAGAGGCACTTGCGCTTCCCTTCTCTCTCTCTCTCTCTCTCTCTCTCTCTCTGTGTGTGTGTGTCTGTGTGTGTGTGTAAAAAAGAGAGTGGCCTCACACTGTTCTCTGACAAGCTGACAAGCTTATTGGGCGGGGCTCCTACCTTTGCTACGTCAAAGCAGGAAGCAGCAGAAAGCAGCATCTCTCTCTCTCTCTCTCTCTCACACACACACACACACTGAGTGGGGGAAGAGGACTGGCAGACCAAGGGCAGGAGAGAGCCAACCCAATAAGAATGTGTGTCAGCTTGTTGGAGAACAGCGTGAAGCCAGCTTGCCAGGTGAGCAGAAGATCAGAGAGAGGGAGAGAGGGAGGGAGACAAAGAGAGGGAGAGGGAGGGAGGGAGAGAGAGAGACAGAACTCATGCACAGCAGCCTCTATTTCTTTTTAATTAAACTCTTCAATCAAGCTCCCCTCCCCTCGCGCGGGTTTTGCAGCTCCCAGTGTTTTCTTTTCTCTGGGAAACGGGTCCAAGTGGCTCTTTGATTGTTTAAGGTTGCCGACCCCTGGTCTAGATCAAGGGTCTCCAAGCTTGCCAACTTTAAGACTTGTGGACTTCAACTCCCGTATCTGGCTGGGGAATTTTGGGAGTTGAAGTTTAGAGGGAGATCAAGCTTAGGCCTCTTGCAGCTGCGCTCGGATTCCAAGCTGGGTCCCCACTTGACGCCTCCACCCAGCCTCTCTGGCAGTTTCCCAGCAGTTTCCTTGTTTAAGCTTCAGAGGTGGATGCTTAAGCGTGCAAAACGGGTGGCTTGTTGCGATCCAAGACGACTTGGCCTTGGGATGTGGGCTATGGGAGCGGTCAGTCTTAAAGATTGTTTGGATTCAGATAGCCCAGGCACCGGCAGACGCAGCCTAGGTGGAAACAGGCTGATGTTTTAAAAAGTAGAAGAGGAAGAAAGCGAAGGGCTTGGTCTTATTTTTTATTTTATTTTACTATTTTATTTTATTATTTTATTTGTTAGTTTAGTTTACTTTGGTTTGGTTGAGTTTAGGTTTAGTTTAGGTTTAGTTTAGTTTAATTTAGGTTTAGTTTAGTTTTTGTTTAATTGTAGTTTAGTTTTAGTTTAGTTTAGTTTAGTAATTTAACTTAGTTTAGTTTAGGTTTGGTTTGGTTTAGTTTCTTTTAGTTTTTAGTTTAGTTTTAGTTTAGTTCAGGTTTAGTTTAGGTTTAGTTTAGTTTAGTTTAGTTTTTGTTTAATTTTAGTTTAGTTTTAGTTTTGGTTAGGTTAGGTTTAGGTTAGGTTAGGTTTGGTTTAGTTTCTTTTAGTTTTTAGTTTAGTTTTAGTTTAGTTTAGGGTTAGGTTAGTGTTAGGTTAGGTTTGGTTTGGTTTCTTTTAGTTTTTAGTTTAGGTTTAGTTTAGTTTAATTTAGGTTTAGTTTAGTTTAGTTTTTGTTTAATTTTAGTTTAGTTTAGTTTAGTTTAGTAATTTAACTTAGTTTAGTTTAGGTTTGGTTTGGTTTAGTTTCTTTTAGTTTTTAGTTTAGTTTTAGTTTAGTTTAGGTTTGGTTTAGTTTAGGTTTAGGTTAGTTTTAATTTAGTTTAGTTTTAGTTCAGTTTTAGTTTAGTTTAGGTTTAGTTTAGTTTAGTTTTTGTTTAATTTTAGTTTAGTTTTAGTTTAGGTTAGGGTTAGGGTTAGGTTAGGTTTGGTTTGGTTTCTTTTAGTTTTTAGTTTAGGTTTGTTTGGTTTAGTTTAGGTTTAGTTTAGGTTTAGTTAATTTAGTTTAGTTTGTTTTAGTTTTTAGTTTAGTTTTAGTTTAGTTTTAGTTTTGGTTTAGTTTTGGCTTGGTTTGGTTGAGTTGACTTAATTTAGTTTAGTTTAATTTAGTTTAGTTTAGTCTAATATTTAAGGGCGGGAGAGACGGAGCCGTATCCTGTCTTCCTGCTTGGGCTCTGCCTCTGTGTGCTGTGACCAGCCCAGCCCAGCCCCCCCTTTGTGTCTCTCTCTTCCTAGCAATCGCGGGTGATCGCCCTCTGCGTCTACCGGGATGTCAGTGGGATGTTCTCCACCGAGAGCCATTCATCCAGCTCCCGAGACGAGCTGCCCCTGCGGAGCCAGTCGGAGACCGAGACGCCCATCCAGGACCTCAGGTGAGGCACTGCAGGCCGGGGAGACTCTTAAAGCCCGTCTCGTCTCGCGTCCCTCCCAGTCTCTCCCAGGTTGTCCTCGACTTACAACCATTTGCTCAGTGACCGTTAACAACGGCACTGGAAAAGTGACTTACGACCATTTTTCACACGATCGTTACAGCATCCCCATGGTCACGTGATCAAAACACTTGGCAATTAACTCCTATATTATGACGGTCGCAGCGTCCCGGAGGGTGTCACGTGATCCCCTTTTGCGACCTTCAAGTCAAATGGGGGAGCCCGTTTAACAACCCTATTGCTAGTTGAACAGCTGCAGCAATTCACTTAACGACGGTGTTGAGAAAGGTCGTCAAATGGGGCAAAGCTCACTCAACTGTCTCACTTAGCAACGGAAATGTTGGGCTCCATTGTGGACGTTAAGTCAAGGACGACCTGTATTCAGTGCTCTCCAGGGGAGGTGTCAGAACGTGCAGAGTCTTATTACGCAGAGATAAGCCAGGAGTAAACAGAGTAAACAGTGGCCTGTATTAAATGGTGGTTTATCTTATGCTGTCTACAATGTCATACACGTGTTAATGCAGAGGTCTCCAACACACAGCAGTTACAGCAGGAAACGGAAGAGAGAGAACACATTAGCAGAGCCTTCCCTTTATACAAGGCTCTTAATGGGACGCAGACCCTGCTGAGCCATTCCCATCATTACCTCTTACATCTTACATTACATAAGCTGCTTAGCTGTTAAATCATTACCTTGACAGGAGGCTTGGTGGAAACAGGAGATAAACCCTCCTGTTTCTTCAGTGGAATCAAGAAAACCTAACAGCGACCTAACCATGACATGGTTCCGAAAAGAAGCAGCTTTACAAAGAACTTTGAGGCTTGATTACCTTAAAGAATCCTTTAATTGGCTACATAGTTTCGGCACGAACAATAGAAAGCCAAAAACTGAAACCCCCACCACCCAAGCACTCGTGACAACACACAACTCCCTCCCTTCTTCCACAGTCATCAATCATATGCTCCAATTAATTTGAAGTGTGAATTGCTCCCTCCCTATTTTCTCCTGTTACGCTGACCTTGGCCGTGCTATGCAAAGATATTGTTATGATTAGCTGGCATACTTTCCCACTCACTGGGTTAACATTGTCTGCTTTAACTCTTGAAGTGATATGTAGGCTGAATAAGATATGTTTGCTTCTTCACATATAGCAAGCAAGAACATCCAATGTTAGCAGACTTGACACTTGAGATCTGGAGATAGGGTGGATCTCTGTGGTCTTGGCGCAGGGTGTGTGTGTGTGTGTGTGTGTGCGGAGGGGGGCAGGGCTCAAACTTGCCATGGGCCCCCATAAATGAGCTTCCTCTGCTCCTTCACTGTCATCCGGTTGAGAGTTGCCTTGAGGTAAGATGGGCACCCTATAAATCTTCTAAACCAGGGGTAGGCAACCGTGGCTCTTTTATGACTGGTGGACTTCAACTCCCAGAATTCCTGAGCCAGCATGGGGGAAACTACGGCCCCTTCATGACTGGTGGACTTCAACTCCCAGAATTCCTGAGCCAGCATGGGGGAACTATGACCCCTTCATGATTCGTGGACTTCAACTCCCAGAATTCCTCAGCCAGCATGGCTCAGCTTGGAAACCTCTCTCTTTCCCCTCAGCATGGCTGGCTCAGGAATTCTGGGAGTTGAAGTCCACGAATCATGAAGGGGCCATAGTTCCCCCATGCTGGCTCAGGAATTCTGGGAGTTGAAGTCCATGAGTCACAAAAGAGCCAAGGTGGCCTACCCCTGTTCTAAACCAATAAAATCCGCTTCCTGCAGCAACACAGTGGACGATGAGGAGGAGATGCTTTACGGCGACTCCAGCACCCTCTTCAGCCCCACCAAGGAGGAGCCACGGCGCAGCAGCTTGCCCTCCGCGGACAAGGATTCCCACCAGTACAAGGCCGAGCCAACCCACTGGTGCATGCTGGTGCGGGAGAACGGCACCATGGAGGTAAGTCAGAAGGAAGCAGCTCCAACAGAATAACATAGAGTTGGAAGGGACCTTGGAGGTCTTCTAGTCCAACCCCCTGCTCAAGCAGGAGACCCAGGCAAATGGTTGTCCAGTCTCTTCTTAAAAGCCTCCATTGATGGAGACCCACAGCTTCTGGTGGCAAGCTGTTCCGCTGGTTAATTGTCCTCACTGTTAGGAAGTTTCTCCTTAGTTCTAGGTTGCTTCTCTCCTTGATTAGTTTCCATCCGTTGCTTCTTCTCCTGCCTTCAGATGCTTTGGAGAATAGCTTGACTCCCTCTTCTTTGGGGCAGCCCCTGAGATATTGGAGCACTGCTATCATGTCCCCCCTCGTCCTTCTCTTCGTTAAACTAGACATACCCAGTTCCAGCAGCCGTTCTTCGTATGTTTTAGCCTCCAGTCCCCTGATCATCTTTGTTGCTCTTCTCTGCACTCTTTCTAGAGTCTCAGCATCTTTTTTACATCGTGGTGACCAAAACTGGATGCAGGATTCCAAGTGTGGCTTTACCAAGGCTTTGTAAAGCTGTATTAACCCTTCTCGTGATCTTGATTCTGTCCCTCTGTTAATGCAGCCTAGCTGTCAACGCTGCAAATACTGTATATTCTTGCTTTGACAATATGCAGAACTGTCTGGTATTTTTATAGTTAAATCAGGCAACAGTGAAAGGGGAGGAGAATATAAGGAAAGCCCGGGAAAAAGGAACCGGAAGTGAATCACATCTTCCAAGTTAATTGGAAGATGTGAATCATGACCCCAAAATAGGGGAGGGGAAAATG